GTTTTACGATTTATTATTGGGACCAGCAATAGTATCATAACTAGGGCCCGGATTTATATGCATTTGCATGTTTTTTCTGAATAGTCCAAAAAATAGCTAGGCAAACTACAAGTTTGATTTGTAATCAATAGATCCGAAATATAAAGTTTTATTTTGCATATTTTTGCATGTACCTACTGGCTACTGCATATTTCTGTATTTTACGATTTTTTATTGCATATTTACGGTTTTTAAATGCATAATATGTAATATTTTGCTTATTTTTATTAAAATAACGTATTTATAGTTATAGTTATAAAAATAATGAAAATAAAAGACTTTTTTTATCGATTTGTTTGCATATTATTTATTTTATACGTTTTATTTCTATAAAATAAGAGCATAAATGCATATTTTATAGTGCATATTTCTTAGGTTTTTAGAGCATATAAATCCGGGCCCTAATCATAACTTATAAGGTGTCTAATATACGTACGAAATTATGATATCATTATGAACCGACCAGCACCTACATATAATATAATGAGTTTATAATTTAATTATTTTACAATTTTAAGAACTAATATTATACGGAAGAAAAACAGAAATTAGTATCTTCCTATGATGTAAAATTAAATTCAATATTATACCTGTATTGTTAGGATGATTCCATGGACCTCCTCGTGGCGATGTTTAAGGGTTTGACGTTGGACGACAAACGAGAAATAAAAGAATCTGAGGAAGAACACTTTGTGAGTATTAATACTTCCAAACAATCATAATATTATACCACCGAAGCTGTACAAGCATACTATACTTACCTATTTTTGTATAAACTCTACACAAATCGGTATTCCACGGTTATATTTCAAATATCATGAACACTCTAGTCTTTTGAACACAAATTTACATATATTATTGTAAATTGAACTGTGATTATAAAATAATATACTTTCTATTATTAATATTGAAATAATATACCACTTGCCAATTGTGCTGAATTTTAATTACAACTAATATTGACCATAGATGAGTATAATATAATATTACAATAATATATACAATATAATATCTTTGTTGTTATCAGGAGACCTTCCACGCACATAGACCATACGGCCATACGGTCGCACGACCATACGCGAAAAGGATGAAGGTATCAAGATATAATTTTTGATTGTGTCAATAATTGTATTATTGTTATTAATTTGTCAGAGCATTTTCAAAATATTTATTTAACTGTTGTATGTTACCTATATTTGTTTGATTGTGATTTATAATAAATTGTTCATTTACTTTTGTATTCATTGTATTGTAATTTCATAAAAACAAAATACGATATTATACGATAATATTATCTAGTGATAATATTAATAGTGTGAATCTATGCAGGTATGAAGGTAATTAGTAAACCAATTTTAATTTTCATGTTACGACGTGCAATATGGTATTTTCAAAATTTACATTCAAGCTTACTTTTTGTGTTATAGTTGAAAAACCAAAAAAATGGTAATTACTAATTAATATATTTATTATAAATATTGTTTATTCAGCTTATAAGTTAAGTTGAATCAATCGCACTATCATTTTAATATCTAAAACGTATAGCCCGGTATAGGTACAACACTTTTTCATTTAATTTTAGAAAATTTAATTAATTAATTTTTTTAACTAGATAGTAGATACACTTTCATGTTATTTATCTCCATCTAAATAGTTATTCTACAAACTATCTCTTATATCCATAGATATTTTTAAACGTATCATAACACACAAGTTTTTTGCTTAAGGGGTATGAATAGTATTGAAAAAATCTATAAAAATGTACTTTTGTATTTCCAATAATATGGTTTATTAAGTGGTTTGAGAGTAAAAACACCTATTATCAATATTGTAGAAGAGAAGTTAATCTGTGCCTGTATAGAAGTCAAATTTTTTTATTTGTAATTACTAAACTCAATAATTCAAATTCAAAAAGTAAAATATCATAAGTTTTAGAGTTAAATATTGGACATTGAAAATAAAATATCGAAAATCGACTCCTATACAAGCCTAGATAAACTCCTTCTCTTCAATTTGTATAATAGGTGTTCATACTGTAATGTCACTCAGTAAGCTATATTATTGGAAATACGAAACTAAGTTTCAGTGGTTCACTAAAATTCACATTTGTAATTAGAGTGTAATATGTTCCGTTCATGACATGTGCGTGCACGTGCGGGTGTGCTCCACTATTTATTTTATACACAGTCACTCACACTAATAATCACTTACTACGCACACATTTACACGACCCGCATGCACACCATTAGAAAATTGCCTATACCAAACTCCTTAGAAACGGTCGGTATGCAATATGCATACCCCTTAACCGATTATTTTCGAAAAAAAACTGGGAATTTTCAATTTTAACCTTTCGGAGTACCTACTACTACTACTAGATTAAGTTTGCCATCAGAAACCACCCTCAAAGTTTAAAACCATGTTTATAGTCACACAAAAATAATATAAATACATTATTGTAAAATCAATTTATTGATTCATCGCTCCGTATAAAAGCTAAAATTCATAATCCTATAATAGGCTATATTATACAGAATACACAAAAAGTGTAAAACGTCAGTAAAATATTAACACATATTTTTCTACGAATAGTCGTCAATATACTTCTAGTCTATACGTTTGTGAAATTACTTTGATGCACATTGTGTGTATGTTTATGTCAGACAAGGCCGCTGCCCTGTTGGCAACACAGGAAATAGTACGTAAGCTAAGCATAGATCATAGATGTAACTAGGGAGGGGGGCTTTGGGGGACTAAGCCCTCCCAACTTTGATTGTAGCCACCCCCTGTCATAATTATTATAGTCCTACCAACGGTAATTAATTTTTAAATTTAAATTTGATATATCGTTTAATTTTTTTTATTAACATCTTTGACCAACTATATTATTGTATGTAATAATCCTGGGTAAAATAATGTATAATTTTTTCTACATAAATTCTAAATAATTTTAATCATTTAATTAATTACCTCATAGTAACACTTTTTTATAATTTGTTTTATACACACAAAAAAATATGTTAAACACACTATAATAATTAAACAATATTATAATTTAAATAATTTATTTAACACGATTTAGGAGGGGGAGTGGTGAGCACCCCACCTTTTTTTGTTTCGAAAATGCTAGGGCTGGAGCCCCCCCAACTTTAAGGTCTAGTTACGCCTAGGAAGCTAAGTACCTACATCCTGTTTGACTACCGCATTCAGATTCAACGTGCCAAAACGGCAAAACCAAAACGTTGCTTGCTTCCCTCGGATTCGCAGAATGTAAAAATTGCTGAAAAAATAAAATAGTTTTTTGAACTCTTACATATGACTGTAACAAGCACTATAGCGAAACCGTAAACAGTACTTTAGTCTATAAAAAATATTGTAAAATGTGTGCACTTGAGTCTTGAACGATGCGATCATATACCTAAGTATTATTATGAACGGTAAAAGCTAAAGTTGAATTGTGTAATTGTGTAAGCAAATGCATTTACACATGACACAGTACAATATTAAAGTTTTTATAAGGTATAACTGTTATGAAGTCAGTAAGTCACAACAACATGATAAAACAATATTCTCAATTGATAATATTAGGTACCAAATAGGTACTAAAACATGTTAAATGCTCACGATACATAATAAAAAAATTATAGGAGTATTATAGGACTCCACAATTTCTTGTGTGTTAGTTTTGCGGTCCCACATATAGGTAGATAGATTTTCTACAGTCCGTGAGCCGTGACTGTAACATTATGATTGTCGAATTGATTAATCAACAAATACTATAAATATCACGATATTAATAGTTGGTATATATATATGGTATATACCACACAAGTACACAACTATTAATGTATAAAGCCATATATGTAAGTAGGTATTGTATATTATAGATAATATTGTGGAATTAATAATATTTTTATCAAATCCACTCCAAAAATTTTGTATTTTAAATAAAGTATTAAATCCTTCATTAGTTATCTAATCTATATAATTCAGTAAATGTCGTTTGAAGAAATTATCTTCTATAGTTTAAACAACGATTCATTAGGTATTTGTATTTTTTCCACAGCAGATGTCGGATCCACCCACAGGACACCATATTATCTTTGTGTCCGTCCGTTCGTTAGTTACCAAATACCAGTCAATAGTTGCGACTGTTGGGGTATTAAGATTTAATATATTATATTATATTATATTATTAGAGTTCATCTTATATAGTTACAATCGTTTGTAAATACCTATACTTATTAGTTATTATTTTTTTGTAACGATTCTATTCAAAGTAAATTCGTACTAGGTAGGTATAGCCAATATTAAACAAATAGGTACCAATATATAAAGGTTACCCTTACCGAATTCTTTTTTAATTGTAGGTAAGTACATATAATAATATTATATGGAATTATTATAACTTAATGGGTTGTATTAAAATACGTTTAGAAACCTGAAATTTAGCACGTTAGCTGCATAGTCAACTTCACTAACTTGCTTAATTCCTTGGCACGATTTTTTTTTTAAATTAAAAATTAGCATTTAATAATAATTATAAACTAATATGTAATGTTTATTTTATTCCCGAGACAAAAGCTTTTTAAATATTTTTTTCTATGGGCGTTACCTATATAGGTAGCGTTTGAAATATAATATATTAATCGTTTCTGTGTCACTGCAGTATGATACTATTATTTTCTGTATTATTGTTACAATGAACACTATACGAATAATTCATTATACATTATTCTAAAAGTTATAACGCACTTTCCTTACATAGAATAATACATTAACATAGTGTACCTATGATCATGTCGAGTGTCACTGCACTTGTCGTACAGAATACATCGTCCGAAGTCCAGATTCGCTCACCGTCCGCGGAATCGATGTACCGAGTTTCGACGAACTAAGAAATTTAGAAATTGACAAGTCGCGGTGATTTCACCGGCCCGTCGATCAGACGATACAATTCGATGCCGAACATCGGAGTGCAGACGACTTTTGCGGGTGATGCATCCGTTATCGGGTTGTCGTTGGCCGCCTTGAACGATTCACCGTTTGCCGATGCAAACAGCTCCGGTCGTGTCGTTAAGTGGCCCGACCGAAATTGTCGCGGCAAATTATGCCAGTCTAAAGTTCCTTTATTACATTTCGATAGTCAACACGGCCACACAATGATGCCCGTTGCGGTTGAAGTCAAGATCGAGACCGTCTGCTTGCCGCTGCATGTTTGATCGCGCGGGGCCAGTGGCGGCGCCAGGGGTGGGCCAAGGTGGTCCCGGGCCCACCTTAAAAAGTCTCCGGCCCCCCCTGTGGCCCACCCCAAAAATTAAATTTAATCATATTAGAATACTAAAAAATATCTCATGAATAAATCATGATCTATTAAAATATGAAAATATTGAGTCATAATAGATGCCGTGAACAACATTTTGAATGGGTTGAAAACTATATGCACAATAATATGCTTTCAAGCCTCATAAATAACGTGTATTTTCCAGCGGCTGAATACGAAAATAATAAATTATTATTAAATATTCATTGGTATTGAGTGTAATTATGGGTTAGGGAGCATAATAAAAATCTAAAAGTGTTTACATGAATATATATTTTGTTAGCAAATAAATACTATTAATACAATACATGTTTACAAATCATTGTTTTAGTAAGTTTACACGATGAAGTTTAAAAAAAATTGGAAGTTGACCCTCCCCCTCACCCCTCTGTGAAATTGCCTGTCATCACTATTGTTTATATATATATATACTCATATATATATATATATATCAAGTCAACAATTTGGCCCTCCCTAAAAAATTTGGGCCCCAGCCTGGCCCACCTGGTATTAGAGTTCTGGCGCCGCCACTGCGTGGGGCCGAAGCGGACGTGCAGCAGTCAAGCAGTGCTATCGCGGATCCTCCGAGACGCCGCCATTCTTGTTCGATGCCGGACATCGCACTATCGCAGTGCGGTTTGCTTCGGCCGACATCGAGTACGTCCCGGCGAGGGTTTCGATCGAACGTCCGAGTTTGAAAGCATCCGAACTAAACGTCACGAGCAAACAACAGACGAATGCGAGTTTGCTGCAGGAGTAATCCTCCGCCGGTGTGATGAGATATGGACCCGGTGACCGCCGCGGTTAAACCCAAGCGCCGTTCAATGTGGAAACGGGCGAAGCGATTCGTCCGACGCTTGTTTTGCTGCGCTTGATATAAATATTAATGAAAAAAAACGGACACTGCTCAAGCGGGCATCACCGAATCGGGTTGCAGCCGTTCTAACGTTAGTTGAAAAAAAAAGTTATACCTAGATTATAATATTAGATTTTTATGCTGCGAATCATAAAATATTATGATTTATACAAAAAAACGTTTTGGTATATGTTACCTGTTTATTTGATATTATTATATTATTGATTGTTATTAATAAATACGAGTCAACATCACGCGCTAGTGGAAAATTTATTTATGCGGCTTGTGAAAATCGTGACTATATTGTACAAGTATACTATAGTTTTTTTTTTTTTCATAACCAGTGTAATTATTGTGTAAAGATTTTTTTTTTATCAACATTTAAAGAAAAAACTAAAAAAAAAAATCGACAAAATCAAATATACGCCAAACAGTAAACACAATATGAATGTACAATATCTGAAATTCTGAAATCTGAATATCATATTAATGATAATTAGCTGGTACCGGACGAAGTCTTTCCTATACCGCTATGGAACTCCACTGTCGATTGCGCATAGAAATTGCAGGTCATAAAGTTTAGAGATGGATTATATGGACGAGATTTCAACTTGACGATGTATAGGTCATAGAACGCAGGTACTAGGTGGTTATATAGCCTATAGGTAAAACTCTAAAGCATTAATGCAAATATATTATTTTTATTCTGTCCCATCAACATTTAATTTTTCAACATTATAAAATACACCATGCGATATAAAATAAAATATATATTTAACATAGGTATAGACTATAGGCACCAACTAAAAATTAAATTTTTCAGTATAGTCATAATATTATAATATAATTTATGTTTAAATTTTTAAGTGATTTAAATTTAACTAATGATATATATATATGTAATCATATTTACTTTTATAAATCATAACTATGTAATAACATATAATCTATAAATATATAAGCACACTTTAAGGTTTCGCATCATTATTTTTAATTTACAATAGATAAGCACTAAAATACAGTTTTTTACACATAGGTACTATAATAGTAAAATGTATTTAATATAACGATTTATAATAAGTTGAAATTAACTAAGCGACTGAAAATGACAATAATTATTATTTTTATTTTTTTAAATGTCAGAGTTTTCTTTTTTATTACCATTACCCAAAATGTTAAATATATTCTTACACGAGCTCTTCATTATATAATACACTAACAAAGAATGACATTTCACGCATCAAAGTTATCAAACTTTAGTAGGTATAGTCTACGAAAAATGTTGTTTTTTTTTTTTTAAGTAATACAAAAATAATAGTTATTGAGTCAACTGATATGTATTCACTGTACATGATATAATATTACTATGGATGTCTTGTCACTTCAGTGACCATTATAAGTACCTACAGTACCGCATTACTATATATGTAATATGTATAGCCACATGTGTGTAAATATTACACATTTACACCGACACACTAATACCTCTTTACGGTCAACCGTCGAACCTATTGATAATAATATAGGTACAACAGAATAAGACGTGTTTGGACGTAGAAACCATAACCTAATCAGACACCGATCAGAGGTGTGACTCATATTATATAAGGAGTTCCTGTATACAAACCGAGCCTTTGAAAAGATGCGTCGGTGTTGCCCGCGAATGGATGTTATAGTAACAGCTATAATAATGTTATATTATAGTGTTAATACAAGTAAGTACAAATACAATGCTGCAGGATGCCTGTATACCTGATTCCGGTACTATAAATGTCGATTTCAAACGATTCTGCGGCCGACCATGAGTACGATAAGAGTCCTGCAGGTGCGTAATTTCAGGTGTCGGTGCCAAAACGTTTGCAGCAATTTTTAAATCATTACGAACGAGCCTATAAGTATAAAGTTATAGTCTATATAGGTCATAGCAGTAAATGCCTTGTAAAAACTACACTTGCAGTTGGAATGTAGTTTTTAGATTTAGATGAGAAATTATCAATTTTTGTGTTTTTTAATTGATATACATCATGATATACGGACATACGATTTAGCGATTAGGACTTGGTCCTTGTCCCGAGGCTGTAATTATTACAAACGAAAACACTGCAGTGTCATGTAAAAATGATTTTTTTTCATTATTTTACAATAATATAATATAGGTGCAAATATGCACAGTATTGCACACCCTGCATCTAATTCCCAATTGAGTATATTGAAGGGCCCGCGGTTAAGACCTGTATAAGGCTTACTAAAGGCCTACACGAACGATGCTTATTCCCTATGGTCGTACGCAGCTGTTTCCGTATATTGTATACCGGATAATATTATTATATTAATTTCGATTTTGTATTCGTTACGACCACCTACAGCGGTAACATAATGGTCAGCAATAATAAAATATCTGTTAAAAGTGGTCTAATATTATATTTGAAATGTCGACACCGAAAAATTCTATACTTGAATGTGATCAACTTTAATAAGCGTTCATAGGCACATTTAAAATTTTTAAGCCCAGGTCCTATATTATTTGTCCTCCTTGGTCGCCTCACATAATACATTAATACCTATTTTAAATATCAATATTTTTTCTATATATATATATATATATATATGGAGAGGAATATATATTGAGGAACATGATCACAGCACTAAAAATACTTCAATGCTTTTCCGTTCGTCGTTACACGATTCGTCGGTGCATAGTAACGAAGTTAATAGAAAAAAGTTTTCCAAGAGATTACAATATATATTTTGTTTCGACGTTTATAAACGCAAATATATGCATATAATGCCATCGCGAAAACTATGGCGATCGGCCCCCTCCCCTATAGATCTACATAAATATATATTAAATGTATAAAATGCATGTACCTAGGTACAAAGTAATTTTTTAAGTACCTGACGAATAATTTTTCGTTATGCGTTTATACCTACAATATTTTGATTTTTGGACATTTTAACTTTCAAGTACGGTACCTACCTACTTAGTCATGGGAATTTTTTTTTAAATTCTATACGATGTTTAAGGGCTTAACACGATTATTTTATCGAGGTTTCATTTAATACATAATTACATATTATTACATGTTCGACACACCATTTCCGAGCAAGCTGTCGATGAACGGGTGACCCGCGGTTCGACGAGGCTAGCAAATATACGAATGCCGTCACACTATATACAATACGTCTTGAAGCACTCACAAATAATGATGGCGGTCTGAAAACGGTCTGATGAGGAATGCCAAAGTGGCCTTGGAGTAAATATGGCCGGCAACGTCCAAGTTTACTTTAAACCTATACCACCTAATCGACGGACGACGACATGGAAATTATTGTGGTTATCCGCTCACGAGTTTACAACGCAATAGGTTACTATTGCCAAGTCATTTTTTCCTTTAATAATGAATATTTTGTTCGAATTCTGATTTTTAAAACTTTCAAGTGTACTATTAGGGCCAGATTTGCAATTATTTAGATTTTTACACCATTTAAGGGGTGTCCTATGGCGATGTAAAATTTTTACCGCTAGCAATCCCATGTTTAACGAAATTTTAAATTGTACCAATAGTAAAAATTTAAAAATACGCTTGAATCAGCCCCTTCCTCTGGTGAAATTTATTAGAGTAAGTTGTGCTGTCGTTTTAAATGCGATAGCGATGGATTATTGGCATAACTTTCGCAAAACTTAAAATAGGTGTTAAAAGTAACTAAATATTTTACTGCTATTAAATTCATATCTGGGGAATTTAAGTCATTTCAATGTACGGTTTTCAATGATTACTTACTTATTAAATATAGCTAGATTAAGTACAATAAAGAACACTTTAATCGTTAATATAATATGTGATATATTATGATAGGTAACTGTTCAAAGTGTCTATCACGAACACCATTAAAGGTGGGTACCCAAATTAATCTAAACGTAGCACTATTGCAGTTTAAATCAATAAACGACATCTTATATCTGAGGTAATTTTAATTATACATAAAAAATATATATTAATTATAATTATCCTAAAAATTAGTACCTTAGTAATAAAAATAAT